GGGGGCACTGGCGGAGGGGGCGGGTTGGGCGGGTAGACGTGTGGGTGGTAGGGCAGGTGAGCCGGCGGGCCGTAGGCTGGGGGCAGGGCCCCGTAGGAGGGGCCCTCGGTCTTCATCATGGACTGCAGGCTCTGGTAACCCTCCCCGGACATGTACGAGCTGGTGGTGGACATCCCGGTCATGTAGCTGGAGGGCGGCGGCGGCGGCGGCCGGTGTGGCAGCGGCGGCGGCTGGTGCACGGGCGCTGGGTGGGCCGGAGGAGGAATCTGGACTTTGGGAAGCTCACTGGTGTCCCCGGGGCCCGGGGGCTCCGCCTCGCCTAAGGGGGCGGAGAGGGGAGGCTTCCGGTCTGCAGAGGAGAGACAAGTCACTGCCCGGCCCTGGGGTGGCTCCCAGGGCTTCCTTGCGCAGGGACACGTCCACGGACGACCTCAGGGTGGGGAAGGCCACCCCGGAAGCCAGGAGCTCCCCGGAGTTCTCACGCCCCCCCCCCCACCCCGCTTATAGCACCGGCGGGGCTGCTGCCCTTCCCCAGGGCCAAGGTCACAGAGAACAGCGAAGCTCTCGCCGGTGCCCGCTGCCCCCACGAGGACCCGCGCCCCCCAGCATGGCCGCGTCTCCCTCCCCCGGTCCTCACGACCCCGGCCAAGGCCGAGCCTGCAGTGCCCGGAGCCCCTCCCGCTAGCACAGACGGGAGTGGGCCCTTCTGCCCGCCTGCCTCTGCCTCGAGACCGTGGGGCCGGGGCCACGTCACCTTAGTCTGCAGCACGGGCAGCGAGCGCAAAGCCTGCGAGTCGGGCAGGTGAATGAGGCAACATTTAAAACCGTAACGAGCGAGTCTCTGACATGCCCGGTGAAGCCGCCAAAGGAGCCACTCCGCCTGGAGTTTGCTAAGAGAAGTGACCTCAGCCCCCAGCGCGTCCTCTCAGGAGCGCCGCCCTCTGTGGTGCTTCCCAGCGCGGCCCCCGCTGCCTTCGTCCAGAGCCTCACTGCAACATTTCTACCTGTGATTCCCCCCTGCATTCGTGGGCAGATACCTGCAGAATGACACCGGGACACCCCACCAGCGGTGGACAATCACTGAGAAAGTGTGTTCTTAGGATAATTCCTAAGGCAGCCCAGAAGTCAAGGGCAAATCACAGGAGCCAAGATCTCTGGGTCCAGAGAACACCAAAGAGTAAGGGCCACGAAGGGGTTTCGGGTCTCCTAGCATGTAGCCTCGTGTGCTCCCTGGGGCTCCGAGCAGGCCCGACTGTGCCGACACGGACGTGCAACGTGCCCAGGGTGGGCATCCGCGGGGGCCTCACTGCTCTTGCCAGGTGAGCTGGGACATCGTCGCCCGACAGCCGCGTCCTTGGGGCCCAGCCTGAACGAACCAGCAGGCCCGCCCAAGGCAGGAGGTCCGGCATGCCTACAGAGAAGTCTGGGCTCCAGGGTAGGACCAGGGGCCTTTTAGTTCCAAAGCTGACCAGAGAACATAAAGTATGAACTTGAAGCCTGTGGACAAATGGGCCAACCACCTTGAATTCCTGTGTGTATCACTTCACGGCGCCTGGGTCCGCTAACACGCTCTTCCACCTGTGAGACATCACTTCCTGTCACCTACAACGCTGCTGCCTCCCCAAGTCACCCGTGCGTCCGCCTGTCCCCTGTAACTCGGCCTGGAACAAGCGGTCTCTCCAGGCATCTGTGCTGCTCTCTTCATCCTCGCTCTGACACCTGCCACCACCCCTGGTGACCTAAGTGCCTCTTCCCGCCTCCTGCGCCTCATTAGGGACTGTGGTTCCCCAAACCACAGATCCTGCTCCTCCTCTGAGCCTTCTTTTCCACCCGCCTCCCATGAAGTAGTGACGGGACCTCGCTGGAGTGAGCTCCTCTGGCCTGGCCCCCCGATCCCTCTGCGTCCAGCTCCACTTCCAGCAACTGCGGCTGCCGGACTCCATGCTCCCTCCCACCGCGGTCCTTCTAGCAGCCCAGCCGGCTCCCACCACCTGCTGCCAGGACCTTCACCCTTCCTGCCTGCTGCCCGTGGTGGGAGCTCCGTGCATTCTGTGGGGCTCCTGACACCGTGCCCAGAACACCCTTGCCCCCAGAACACCAACAGAGAAGCAGAAGGAGAGAGTGTGTAGCTCTCTCCCTGCCCTGGGCTCCCCAGGCCACCACACCTCTTCTCAGCCACACCCCTGGGCACAGGAGCTGGGGATCTGCGCTTGCTTGCGGGGGAGATACTACAATAAATACTGAAATGACCTACCGCAGGTGCCTTTTTAAGCAGGCTTCATACTGGAATGGGAACTGTAGAATTTGTCCCAAAGCAGAAAATGATGCCCCTATTTTCCCAAAGCTCCTAAAGTGCTATGACTGACCATAAGCAGAAAGAAATATGTGTGGTACCTTTGCCCCAGGCACTCGGCGCTGGGAGCCCAAACGTGAGCCGTAGGGTGGGGCGGGCCGGCCCAGCACCCCTCAGAACACACACAACTTCTGCCCACCCCAGCTTCCTGCTCCATCTTCCAGAACGCTGCCCCAGGGAGAGAACGCTATATCCCTTATGAGGCTTCTCCTCTGGGTTTACATGGCACCAAGGAAGCTTCCCAGTTCCCTGTGGGCCTGTCGAGAACTCGTCATGCTTTATTCTCCACTCGACTCTGAGCAACTGCTTACTCTTCCAAATGTACCCAGACGATGTCCTGCCACTGTAGGAAGCAGACGTGCGAGAGACTGGGGCCTAAGATCTACACCAGTCCTGCCGGGTCAAGGTTCATAAACTGTCAGGGCTTCGTCAGGGCTTTGTTTTCCTAAAACTGATTCTACACTTACTTATCCTGCACAGTTTGGCCTTTATGCACACGAGAGGCCAGAGAATATCCAGATATACTTGGAATTTACAACACCCTCAAAAGATCTGGTTTGTGAAAGACAAACACCATTTTTTGAAAGATCCTTGGGCATTATCTTCTTTTAAAATTTCGGCTACCAGGTCTCCCTTCTACAGATGTGGCCCGGGCCTTCCCAAGTCTGCCCTTCGAAAAAGCAGAGAGAAAAGCTGGCCCTCCCACGCTGCTTTTAGCAGACACTTACCTGGAGGTGGGTGGGCCGGAGGCAATGGAGGGTGAGTGGTCTCAATTTTGGGGATTTTAGGTGGTGGTGGTTCTAAAAAGGAAAAGGAGATTGAAAAATAACTCATGCTTCTTCATGCGAATAAACATGTCATAATGAAAGAAAAAGAAAAAAAGGAAAATGTGCCATTCAGGAATTTCTTTGGGGAACAAGAGATGAAAGCTTTAGGGAACTTGAGGGAGACCTCAGCAAAACCATTAGGTGCTAATCCTTTCACGAGAACTGAGCAAGTCTAACAAACACCATCCCCCAACCCAAGTAAAACAGCCTGCTGGCTTCTCACAGCCGTTTCCACATCTACCTGACTTCCTTGCTGACCATCCAGGACAAGGCCTTCCAACAATATGAGAGAAGCAAAATACTGTCTCGGTTACCCGGGGCGGGGGGGAAGGGGGGGCCTACCCCCCACCCAGCCCTGAGGGCTCACGGGAGAAACCTCCCCCTTTGTATTCTTCATTGGGCACCTTTTAAGTCTATTTTCTTCCTCACAAATATGTGCTCCCATTGGCAGCACGTTAGAAGGACATTAACGACGTCAGAAGAGATCCAGAGGCTGCAGAGCCAGCGTAAAAGCCAACGGGACACTTGGGAGCGGAGCACACAGCCCACCCGTCGGGGTCCAGCGGCTACGGGCAACCAGCACCCACAGCGACAACACTCAGCAGCCACGCCAGGCTACACTAAACCCAGTATCCTGTGTTTGTGAGGGTAGGGAGTGTGTACACGTAATGGAAAAAGAACTCCCATCTTTGTGCTTGCTTGTATGTTTTGACCCTTTCTTACGGAAACTCACTTTATTCTGGCTTGTACACTGTTCTGATCGGACTCTACTCTAGCGTTGCTGAGCCTGTCCTGGTTTCCTCTGTCCCAAACAGGCCGAATTCCAAGTCCAGGGATGTGTCTGTCTGTATCCGCTTCCCGGGGGATCAAGTCCTCTCTCCTCTAGGTGGATGAACGGTACATCTGTGCCTCTAGCTTCTCTCTCTCTCTCCCCCAAAGCCGTGGACCTGACTTTTGAACTCCACCCTAGACCCAGCAGCTCACATGATGCCTTCCCAGCTCTGCTGTGACTGCTGTCATCGTCACCACGGACGCCCACCTGCGACCCTGCCCCAGCTGAGCTGAAGCTGTCTAGATCAGTGCTGCCCCAAACAGAAGAGCCACACATGTGATTTAAAATTTTCTGGGAGTCACCTTAGAAAAAAGGGAATTTAATATTTAATTTAACCTGATGTGTAAAAATCTGATCACTTCAATGTGTAATCAACATAAAAATTTATCAGTAAGAGTTTTTACATTCTTTTTTCTTAGTAACGCTTAGAAATCTGGTATGTATTCTGCACTAAGGATACACGATGATTTGGGTTGGCCACACTTCAGCGCCCAAAAGCCCCCCGCAGCTAGGGACACGTAGCACACAGTGTGGTCCAGGTCCTACCTGCAGGCTGTGTCTGCGCCCTCCATCTGTGGGCTCCAGGCTGCCACTCTGACTGCCCTCACCATGTCTCACTGAGAGGCTTGCGAGCTTCTCCCCGTTCCCAACCATCTGTCCTATTACTGCCGCCAGAAACCTTTTTATAAAATGAACTCAGACTTTGCCATCCTCCTGCTCAAACATCTTCAGTGGCTCCCACTGCCTATGCAAAAATCCACATTCCTCCACATGGACTCCGGTTGCAATCACACTTTCAGTCCCATCAAAGCTCCTCCCTTCTACCTCTTCACATTCTAGTCAGACCTCCTCTCCATCTGTTCCCAGTTCCTTTGCCCACTTGCATCCTTCCACCTACAGACCCAACCCCCCAGCTCAGCTCCAGGTGCTCAAAGGCCAGTCCTCCTCCAAGGTCACCAGTGGCTTGTTTCCTCCTCGTACAGATGTACAGGTCTAGCACAGCGGCTCAGCTCGATTGTACATCCACATGGCGAGGAGTGCAGCCCACCCTTGGGTCTCACACTTACTTTTTGCCCAGATGGAGCAGAAGAAAAATTCACCTGTGTACTGAACTCATCATCTCCCCAAAGACCCTGAGAAAAACGTAGCTTTACTGTAACTTGAAGATCTCACAACAGTCCAATAAATCATTCACTGAGTTCCCACCCTAGAACTTAGCAACAGAGAAGCAGAAATGAGTAAACACTGTTGTGCCTTCAGAGTTCAGCACATCAGGGCCCATGACACAGGGACAAAGACTTCTAAATTTCTGTTCTGTGATCTTGCAGATTTTATTCACCCTTTCCATTTGTTTCCAATACAGAAGAAAATTAACCAACTTTGGGCTCTAAAAAAACCCCCAAAAAACCCAAACCCAAACCCAAGCAGTATTTGAAAGAGGTCCAGCCTGCATAAGCAGCAGGGCTGGGACACAGGGTGGTTCTCTGGGCAACAGCACCGCCTGTCACTGCCATCCTGTCTGCCTGCCACTCTGCCACTTGGTGTTCAGGACGGGGACCCCCCCAGGCCTGTTACTGTCTACTGCGGTGGGCTGAACCAAACCTCTAGAAAGGGAACACTGTTGTAACCCTCCTCCTATGTTCATGATCACATTTGTATATAGGCTACTAAGTACATTTTTATGGCTGCTCATGTTTTTTGATGACTTTGGTCAGAATACAGTCTGAAAACACAGGCAGGGTAAAGTTCTGGATGGACTCTAAGGGTAAATTTTAAGGGCAATCTAAATCTTGCAGAAATGTTAACTAAGGATTTAAAGTTTTGATAAACAGACATCTAAAGCTAAAAAAGCCCCCTTAGAACAGGAAGTTACCTGCTGCTTTGTTCTCTTCTTTGGGAGAAACAACCTGTTACAAAAGATAATACACAAGTGTTAACCAAGACCCGGGGTGCAGTGAGGAAAAACAGATTATCCAGGCCCCAACAGAAAGTGCAGCAACAGAACACAGCTCCAGACAGAAACCAGTTCTGGCTCAGAGCCGCAGGGCAGACTGGACACCTGGGAGATCACCCTCTGCTTCCTTCCTTCTTCCCCTTTCCCCGGTCGGACGGGACCACCGAGCACTTTCAACAGTGGCTTCCGAACGACACTAAGTTTCAGGGCCTCTAATGCACTGGCCTGAATTCGATGAGCTGTTTGCTGACATGTGTTTATCCCCCCTGGTTCCCTCTACTAGCTGGGCTGTTGTTGTGGGGAGAAACTTTCACAAACACCCCGCATCAGAGCACCAAACACAAAAAAGCCAGACTGGAGACACCGATGTTAGCAGGCAGCACACAGATGAGACATCCTGCTGGTCAGCGGGACACGCACACACACACAACACACACGCACCACACACACACACCACACACACCACACACACACAGGCAGGCAGGCAGCGGTGGCTGGAGGAGGACGGAGCCCTCCCCGGCTGCCTGCGGCCCCCCTCCTCTGACCAGGTGGCGAGGCCAGGGGTCGCCCTCCCTGCTCAGTGTCCTGCACAAGCCCGGTGCTGCCCCCCGCCCCCCTCCCCGGAGAGCGGGCCGCTCCTGGGGCTGCCCGGTCCACTCACCACGGCTCGCTTCGCTGGGCGGGGAGGACTGGGCTGCGGGGACGGCTTCTTGGGTGGCGGGGCCTGCTGCGGCGGGGGCTGTGGGGCGGGCGGCTGCGCGTCCTTCTGCTGTGGCTGTGGCGGGTCGGAGCCTGGAGCTGGCTGGGGCGGTGGCCCTTGTGGCACTTGCGGTGTAGACTGGAGAGGCGGGGGCTGCTGCAGCTGGTGGGGCGTGTGATGAGGCATCTGTTGTTTTCCTTGTGAGTAAAGATCCAGGATTTGGTGGCAGATGTCTGAATGATGGACAATTACATTTGTCACAGATTAATCTGCCTAGGAAAAAACCAGCCCATTTCCCCTTCCGGCTACGATTCCCCTACAGGGTCCGATGAGCAGGGATCACACCTGTGATTCCCCCAAACTCTGCTATGCACAGCGGGGACAGAGCAGACGTTCTGAGGGAACTAGAGTAAAGGTGTTTCTGAGGAACGGCTTACATTTACTTGTGTGGGGAAGTCCACTCTCGGGACTCAAGGCTGACAGGGAAGGATCCCCTAACCGTGGAGCCCCCTCAGGAAAGCCCAGCATGCCATACCTTCCAGAACGTCCACAGGGACATCCTGCACAAACTGCTCCCACCATCTCCTATACATGGGTTTGGAGGTCCATTCTTGTATTTCAAATTTGCACAACCGCCCTGCGAGGTACATCACCGCCACCGCTATGATCTCTGGCTCCCACTGCAGTGACAAGGTCGTGCAGAGACTAGGCCAAGAAAAAGGGGCAGCGTGAGTCGGAGCAAACAGCTCTGTCACCCAATGAACGGACAGTAGATGCCACAACTAAATATCAGTTTGCTTTTTCCTCTCTAAATGACCAAATAAAGAATTAGAAATAAAAGCGACAAGTGTTAAGTCTTCTAAAGGTACCAAAATAAGTTACTTTAGCCACAGTTACTAATTTGTTCTTTAAAGACTCAGGATGCTAGCACATTAAAAAACTGCTATGTCACAAAATACAAATGAACATAGCTCATGTTCTTCAAACTGTTGAAATCCTCATCACTGAACCATGTTTTCAAGTGATGGCCCCTCCACACGCAGGCCGTCTGTCCCCGCACAGCACCCCATCGGATCCCCGGCTCTAACAATGGCCAGGCTCTAAAACCATTACAAGAAAGTCTATTTGTGCAGAACCAAATGGGTTCTAAGTATTTAGTTGTCCCAGTTCTCTGGTGTATTGTTTTGAACTATGTTTTAAACCGGGGATGACGTTTTCGCTTCGAGACATGGCAGGGCATCCCTCTGCTGGGAAGCCAACCTCCTGGACGCTGGCCCCAGCTCTGCCATTAGCTGGCCCTTCAAGCTGGGTGAGTCAGAGTCCTCAATACAAAACAGTCCGGATTCAGTGACCCATAAAGTCCCTATTTTAAAAACTACAATTAGACCGACATTTGAACACATGTACCTGTCATTTACAAATGTCCATGCCATTTGAACCAACTTTTGAATTTTGTTTTTATCACCTAGAAATGGGAAGAAAAAGGTAAATTAGTAGTGATAATAACAATGAAAGAGCACATAAAAAGCACCATTTAGTTCAAGTCCACTGTGTGCTCAGCACCGTCCCAACACACAACAAAGAGCTGCTGCCTAGGAACAGAGGGCACACAGGTGGGTCCGAGTCCTGTCTGTTCTCTTCCCACACGATCTGCGCTGAACCACCGTTTACGGGAAGCCTGCTCCGAGGCAGATTTTATTAGGCTATTTAAAAAATTCTGACTCATTTTCCTGCCTCCTATCACTTGGCAACTGAATGGCAGAATGTGTCGATAGCTGACAGGAAGCAGTACTAAGAGCTCCATTACTGGGCTGTCTGGGCGCCTGACGTCCCGGGCACACATGCTCATACACCCAACTCTTCTGCTGTCCTGTTTCAAGAAGCATAATCCGAGTGCCATCAAATCATCGTAAAGACTTGATTTCACAATGAGAAGTTCTTTATGTAACTTTCCCCCTTACCTTTGAGTTGTTTTGCATATTTGAGGAGGAACTGGTATGGATGCTCCACCTGTAAATCAAACTTTATAGTCTGGAGTAAGATTCTCTCCAGAACCATCACTTCTTCCTAAAATAAAATAACAAATGTTGGGATGTGATTTCAATCACAGATCTGAAGCCACGTTCAACAGTGAACTTTCCCACTTCCTCTCTTCTAGCTCTATTTTAGTGACTCTTTTTCATTCCTTCTCTCCTCTGCCCTCCCAGGCTCTCACCTTGCTCAGAGACAAGAAGAAATTCTGAAAAGAACTAAAAGGACGAAGATGAAACAACTGAAGTTGATTTTTTAAAAATACTGGAAACAGTCTTAGAAATATTTTTAATTTTTTAAAAGATTTTATTTTTTTTAAGTCATCTCTACACCCAGCGTGGGGCTCAAACCCATGACCCCGAGATCAAGAGTCATAGGCTCCCACGACTGAGCCTGCCAGGTGCCCCAGAAATGTCATTACTCTCAATACACGAGCCCCTCTTTACAAAACAGACCTTCGCTTTATAAAGAATTTAACTGTAGTTTCTTGCCAGACCTCCATCAAAACCACAATCCTTCAGGGATTTCCACTGAAAACTTTAAGTGTATAAGCAATGATGATAATGCAGATTCACGCAAATTCAGACTATCTGTTCGATACGTACGTGTGTAACGTGTTTTTACAGAATACGTCATCATTTCCTCTTCTACTAAACCACATCCTAACCTGTCCACACACACAAAATCTTTTCTGGTCACTGATCTGTTTGTCTCCTTCCATCCGAGGATCAAAGGGATGTAATGTTTGGAAAGGGGAGTGCAAGCATTACTCCTCTTTCCTTGTTTTCCAGAGGACAGTTTTTCTTCAGTCTTAAGGACTTAGTTCTCACATGGATTTTGGTGGAGGTTGTGGGGCAGGACCCAGAGTCATGACAACGATGCCTGACTCACAAAGGAAAGGAGCTTCCCATACACCGTGGGTGGGACACAGGTGTTGAAATCACTTGCTTTGGAAATGTCCCTGACAGTGGCGGCCACTACTTTGTTTCCAATAATGACTTCATTTTTTCATTTTTAGAGAGAGAAAAGAGTGTGCGTGCATGAGCCGGGGGAGGGGCAGAGGGAGAGACAGAATCTTAAGCAGGCTCCATGCTCAGTGAGGAGCCGATGCAGGGCTCGATCCCACAACCCGGAGATCATGACCGGAACTGAAATTAAGAGTTGGATGCCTAACTGACTGAGCCACCCAGGCGGCCCTCCAATAACGAACTTCTTGATGGCCTTGTCCTTGGGCACACAATGGGTGCAGCTGGTGTAGTGAAGAGGCTGCACGTGGCCATGGTGCTTTTTGGCATAACACTGTTCCTTCTTTTGTTGGTGATCTTGGCAGCGATGACTCGTGGGAGTGCTCCATACCTCATTTTAATATCGTTTTACTTAGTATCAGTCCAGAAGAAAAGGAAGCTCTCGACGTTCTGATTGGGAACTCAGTGGGTCCTAGGACAATTTAGGGAAAATGGAGATTTTTAACTTTGAATCTTCTTATCAAACATTTATTTATTGGAATTTTGTCATTCCTTCAGCGGTTTTAAGTTCCATGGTTTCCACAGTTTCTTACGAGGCATCATTCTGGACATTGTATTTTACTGTTGCTGTCGTAAATGGAATCTCCCCTTTCACCGTGCTCGGGAACTAGCTAACACCTACAAACCGGAACTTCCTGAGCCCGGCCTCTGTGCAGCCTGGCTGCACCGAGCACTTAAAAGACAAGGTGCACCCGCAGTCAAGGTGGTCTAAGCTGGAAGAACAATCAGACAATGACTTGTTTATTACACCACAGAAGACAGGGCTTGGTAGGGGCCTGAAATCCATCGCCAACAGGTGCACAAGTCCATTAACGCCAGAAAGAGAAGATGTGCCAGGAACGGGCTTTCACGCTGAGGTCTGGCCTCACTTCACAGAACACAGACGATTCTCTCAGGATTAGTTACTCCAAGCAGCATGGCAGGACTAAGGTTCTTCTACCCTAGTGCTGCAAGCATTCTCTCAGGAAAGCTTTCTGCCATCTCAGAAACTTCCCCACAATATAAAACATCCTGCTAAGTTTGCCTGGTTTTGGCACTGCCTGTTTCCCACCAGTCTCACTGTGACTCTAAATTTAGAAACAGTCTTTCACCAAGTGCACCTACAGGTTTGGAGGCTGTGGCCCTTATGGTATTACAGGATAGCCCAAGGCCTGGCCTTCCTTTATGTTTCAAATATTCAAGTAATGGGGTAATGATAGGTCTGTGTGCAAGCATCATTCCTCAGGGAATCTTCCCTCAGCCCCACAACACTCGTCTGGGGGACTTGTCCAGGTTCCCAGGTTGAATGCCCTCATTGCACCTTTAAATATCTTTTTATAGAATTCACCACAGCTCATAATCCAATAGTTATAGGATTATTTGATTAAAATCTATTCCAACTCCACTATAAAATGCAGGAGTATGGCAAAGGCCATGTCTGTTTTAGGTCTAGTGTCTCACACAGTGGCTGGAATAAATATTTGTTGAGCACATGTGAAATTAATATGATCGGGGGACCCACACAGTTAAAGCAAAGCTAATTAAGGCAAAAATGTCCCAAGTGATTCACCATCTTTTTTTTCCTAATTGCTTATAAGCCTCCCCCAAATAACTGCCCTGCTCGTTCTCCTCTCGGGCAAAGGAAATGTCCTCCACGGTGACTTCACTGTTCCCAGGTCCAGCGTACTTTCCTGTGGCCCGTGTACTCCAGATCATTTCTGGGGAGACTGCACATGATAGAAAGGAGGGGCAGGTTTCAAAGCCCCTTTGCCCTACTTGCAACAGGCTGGGCCCTGCTGTATAAGTCTGAATAGCATGACCATTCCCCTCTCCTACCACCTGGGGCACTGGAGCTGCAGACCCTGTACTTCACTGTGCCCGACCAGGTCTCGGTGTCCTGATCTGAAAGTACAGTGAGTGGGTAAAGGCTGAAGGTAAAAGCGGACTTCCCCAAAGGCACCTAGGATAACACACACCAGTGTGCTGCACACGCCCACAACACGTTCCTACAACCGTCTCCTACTGTGTCAGAATCAGACACCCACAGGTATCCGATGGTTACATTACTTCTATTAAATTGCATTTTGATCACTGTTAGCATGAATTCCTAACAGACTGACATTTTCATAAACAGGTGAACAGATTTATAAATCAGTTCAAGGAACAGAGTTACCCATATTGAACAATACTTATAAAAGTTATTAGTATTCATCGCAGCTACACCATATGCAAAAGCATTCTGAGCCTCTGTTACCTCCTTGAAGCAAGGAGGAGAATGAACACGTTTATTACACACACATACCAACGCTGCTGGGCAGACAGAGGTATCTACTGTGGCCGGCAGTAGCAGCGAGGGAGGAAAAGCAAGACTGGATGGGGCTGGACTCCCCTGCCCTGGTGAGCTCTGCCCTACCTGTGCTGTTCGAGTCTGTCGTTCAGTCAACAAGTAGCTGCGGACTGCCTACTCCGCCCAGCCTCTGTACCAGGCGCCAGGCAAGAGAGACAGGGTCTTTGCTCTCACAGATCTTACAGTTGAGAAGGGGCGAGTTCTTTGTGTGATTATTTGATTAAAATCTATCTCACTACCAGCTGTGATCAATGTTGTGAAGCATGATACACAGGTGCCATAAGGGTTACAATGGGGGGACCCTGGCAAGAGTTGGGGTGGCGAAAGCTGCCCCCGGGCTCTGAGAGTGGCCTTTTTAGACCTAATAAAAGCATGTGTACAACTATTTTAGTACCATTTCCTGACACTGTCAGGGAGTGTGGGGAAGGGACAGGATGGATGGTACGTCCAATAGCAACACGGTGTCTGAAAATAGCAGCAAATGTTAATACTTGCCAATATTCTCAGGAAGCAAAAAGACACATAGCATAAGCACACACAAGTGCATGTCCGTCTATCATCTGTACTTTCTGCCTGCCCGGAAGCTGGATGGAGATTGGGCCTTGCCATCACTGCTGAACCAAAGAAACCGAACCGCTTCAGGGTCTAGGAGTGCTGGTGGTGACAAGAGGATTTCTGCTCATATCCAACGTGCTATAGCCCCCGAACGTACTCAGAACGAGGGAGGCGTGTGCATTAGCAAGTGCTACCTAAACGTAGGCCACATTATCTTCCTTCCTCTCTGACAGAAGCAAGCACGAGTACCTTCTGCATAGGGCCCTGTCAGGGCTCAGGGGACTGGCAGATCTAGGGGCCACATAAGGAACTTTACCATAATACTACCATGAAGAACTAAGATTTGAGGGCAGGAAGTTAAGATTCTTACCTTTGGGTCATCTCCAAATTGGCCAAATTGTACATCATTTAATAAAATACGAGCTGTTTTGATGATATCTTTACATTTCTTGGGCGTTTCTTCTACTTTCCCAGCCAGAAAGAGACAACACGCTCCCGTCACCTAAAAGGGAAACAAAAGTTCTTGAGATACTGTTAACAAGGACTCATGGAGAAACAAGCAAGGATTTTTGGCCTTCCCAATTTGGCTTCATAAATTATTTTAAATCTAATTTTCTAAAGAAAACATCATGTAAGCTAGATGCCAGAAAGGAAAAGAACCATAGGAACAGACTTTGATCTTACATTGCAGTCTTAAAGATAATGGCTCCCTGAATAGTGAGCTTTGCTGCAGAAAAAGAGCACAATTAAATGCTTGTCCTGTGGAGCCCATCTCGACACCACTGCCCACACTCTCTCTCCCCGCTCCAGCTGCCTGGATCCACATGCACATCCTTACACCACTGGCCTTCTCACTGCTTGGCTTCTGGCTGTTCTCTGTGCCAGCCTCCCCGGCGCGCCCCTCTCTCCATGGGACCCCGAGTGCAGTGCGTGTCAGACGCTGTGCCGGGGCAGCAAGATGATTCTGCTACAGGCTCCTTCCTCTAGAACTTCACAAATTAGCGTGGAAGACGTGTACAAAGCTCAGTAAAATCTTAAGAGGAAGATCCCCAGCAGATGAATTTCCTGGTAAGACTTCTGTCATCTTCCTCATGAAACCCTTCGGTAACTTCACAATCTACCTCCTAAAGTCAGATTTCCCTGGTCTGGCTTTCAAGGCTCACTATGGGCCATTCCAGCTTACCTTTCCACCATTCCCATCCTCCCAAATGGACCCTCTGGCTGGGATGACATCAAACAGCACGCTTCCTGGTGTCTCTGCTCATGCCAGCTTCTGTTGGACTAACTGCTCTGTCCCATTTAGGCATGTCTAAGCCCTACTTAACTAACTGCTGGCAACTCCTTGCTGGCATTTTCCCTGATCCCTCTAAGATGTAATTAATCTCTCCTTTGACTGCTCCAGCCTTCCTTCCTTACCTCTCCTATGGCTTCACTACTGACTGTGTGTTTTATACATGTCATACCATTGATCCTGGCTACTTGAGGCAGGTTCCCTGACTGACTCTCCCAAAGAGTATAAGACATACGGCATGTTTAAGGAGTAACTGAAGAATGAGTGATATGGCATAAGGAACTTCTCTTCCATCTTGGCCTTTTTTGGGGGGTTTCAATTATAAGCCCAAATTTATCTTGTGAAAGGTAAGAAGGAAGTAAATTCCACACAAAGTGCAATATGATTATGGTCCACAGTGGCCTAAATAAAAGAAGATTTAAATACAGTTAATTGGAAAAAACAAAAAATTCAAACTTGATTGCTTAGAGATAGCATGTATTATATAAAAATAAATACTTCCTGGAAAACAGAATAAAAAGAGACTATAACTAATCCACTAAACTGTGTGAAAATATAACACGTGATAGAGAATTATAATAAAATTCAAACACTTACATATCTTGGGAATTGCTTGAAGGAATGAAACATATAGAAGCGATGAAAATAAATTATTCCAGTTGCCAGGGTATCATAGTGCCTGTTGTTCTGGTTAAGGACTTTACCAAGAATTTTTACAGGTTATGTTCTTAGTTAAAAGTGGAAAAATAAAGACAAACAATAACAACAAAATCAGTGTTAAAGCATACACTATCAGTGGCCAAGCAGGCAGATGGGGATCTCAGGGTGTCAGAACTCTGACACAGGAATTATCAAGGTGAAGTTTATACTTGTAACAAGGCAGGGCTTCACCTTCCTTTTGGTATGCTTCCACTATGGTCACTAGGCCTGGTGGCCACTCACTCAATGGCTAACTCTACACATTTAAATGATGAATGGGAAACAGAAAACCCCTGAAGAGCCAAGTAAATGAGAAATAACATTTAAATAAAAATATCTAAGAGCTGTTTAGTAGAGACAGTACTATATACTTTGTAGCATCTAACTTAATTCTCGGTGGTGGTGGTGGGGAGCCTATCTGTAACAGATTCCAGGGAGACTCAGGATACAGTCCCAAGCGTGTGCCCACATCGAAGATGAACCGAGCCCCCTCTCGGCGGTACCGGGCCTCAGTGGCTGGATCAAGTCCTTCCAACTGCGAGGGTGTATGAGCCAAGTCTTTCTTATCCCAGTACCAACATGGTTTTGTGTGGTCCAGGTTTGCTGAGGTTACTGAAGGGCTTGAATTTTCTTTATTCTCCTTCATTTATTGAAGTAGACTTGTTCTTTCCAAAAGATTTTCTGAAAATGTTAGAATCCTAAGAGAAAGAGAAGCAGCAGCAAAGTTGGAAAGGAACTTTCCATATTAAACAATCCCGATCATTATAAACAGTCTACAGTTACAGGTTATACTTGATTTTGGATAAAAATTTCCCAGAGCGGCAATACTACTGAATGACTGATAAAAGCCCAGGTTTACCTCCAAAGCCAATTTAACACCTAAGCGACCCACAGGATAATAAATTCCAAATTTCATGTAGTTTAAAAGGAAGAGCATTTCTGTCTTACATTCCTTTCTGCCTTTCTTCAGTAGACCCAATCCCCTCATGCTGGCCTAGGTTCCATTCTTCAGTAAAACCCAGGCCTGTCCTAACCCCCTAAAAAGACTTATGCTTTAAAATTATCCATCTCTTCCATTCACCACCCAATCAAAATTTTGGTTTTCTGGTTTACTTCATTTCACTGAGAAAAGCCACCAGATCAGATGACTTCACATCTGCATGAGTCACTGAACTGAGCAGTATAAATCAGGTGTGGGTGCAGTGATTTTGAGGGAGCGGGTGGAGGGAGGTGGTCCACAAGGAAGAAGGGAGTTCCTTTAATATGTTCTAGCTTTCTCATCCTTTTTTCTTTCAGAATAAACAGATTTTCTAGAAGTGTCATGTTGGGGCGCCTGGGTACCTCAGTCGGTTAAGTGTCCGACTCTTGCTTTCATCTGAGGTCATGATCTCGGGTCATGAGACCGAGCCCCATGTCAGGCTTCATGCTCAGCAGGAAGTCTGCTTAAGATTCTCTCTCTCTTTCTGCCCCTCACCCTGCTTGTGCACACGCACGCATGCATGCACACACTCTCTCTCGTGCACGTGCGCAAATGGAAAAGCTTAAAAAAAGCGTCATGTTGAGAAAAGAAAATAAAAAACAAGGACTCTCATCAAGAGGACACTGGAATATGTAAACTGTAAATGTGATCAGAGAATAGCAATTTTCAAATAGGTCAAGGATTTTATTTTATTTATTATTTTAAAATTTTTTAAAAGATTTATTCAGTTCCTTGACAGAGAGAGAGCACAAGCAGGGAGAGTGGCAGGCAAAGGGAGAGGGAGAAGCAGGCCCCCCACAGAGCAGAGAGCCCAATGTGGGGCCTGATCCCAGAATCCGGGACCATGACCTGAGCCGAAGGCAGACGCCCAACCGCCTAAGCCACCCAGGCGCCCTCTCTATATTTAATTTTTTGAGGAATTTCCATACTGTTTTCCAAAAGTGTTTTTACCAATTTACATTCCCACCAATAGTGCACGAGGGCTCCCTTTTCTTCATATCCTTACCAACAATTGTTATTTCTTGTCTTTTTGATAACAGCCATTATGACAGGTGTGAGGTGATATCTCACTGTGGTTTTGATTTGCATTTCACTGATCATCAGTGATGTTGAGCATCTTTTCATGTGCCTATTGCTACCTAGATACCTTCTTTGGAAAAATGTCTATTCAGGTCCTTTGCCCATCTTTTAATCAGGTAGGTTTTTTTTTTTTGTTAAGAGTTGTAGGAGTTCTTTATGTATTTTGAATATTAACCCCTTAACAGATACATGATTTGCAAATATCTTCTCCCATTCAGTAGGTTGCCTTTTCGTTTTGTTGATGGCGTTCTTCAGTATGAAGAAGTGTTTTAGTTTGATGCAGTCTCATTTGTTTATTTTTGCTTTTGTTGTCCTTGCCTTTGGAGTCTGATCCAAAAAAACATCACTAAGACCAATCTCAAGGAGATTACCACCCACGTTCTCTTCCAGGAGTTTTATGGATTCAAATCTCACATTCAAGTCTTTAATCCCTTGAGTTCATTTTTGTATGTGGTGTAAATAGTGGTGCAATTTCCTTCTTTTGCATGTAGCTGTCCAGTTTCCCCAACTGTCCTTTCTCCATTATATACTCTTGCCTCTTCTGTCATAAATTAATTGACCACAGGGGCGCCTGGGTGGCTCAGTCGTCAAGCATCTGCCTTTGGCCCAGGCCATGATCCTAGGATCCTGGGACCGAGCCCCCCCCACCGCCCAGGAAGCCTGCCTCTCCCCCTCCCGTCCCCTCTGCCCGCACTCCCTCTCTCGCTGTCTCTCTCTCTCCCTCTCTCTCTGTCAAACAAACAAAACAAAATCCTAAAAAAAAAAATTAGTTGACCATATATGGCCAATTTGTGGATTTATTTCTGGGCTCTCTATTCTAGTCCATTGATCTATGTTTTTATGCCAATACCACATTGTTTTCATCACTACAGCTTTGTAGTACAGTTTGAAATCAGGAAGTGTGATGCCTCTGGCTTTGTTCTTTCTCAAGATTGCTCTGGTTATTCAAGTCTTTTGTGGTTCCAAATAATTCTATATTTGTTCTAGTTTGCGCTTGCTCTTGGTGCTGTGCTTCTTGGTGGCGGTCAGCTCGTGCTCAATCTTCATCTCCAGGAATTCCTGCTTCTTACTTAGCATCTCCTCCGTGTCCCGCAGCCGCTGGATGGCATCCTGAGGGGTCGGGCCACCCTTGCCGGCCTTGCCACCTCCTGCCCTGAACAGTTTCCCGAACACCGACATGGTGGCTGCTCGCCACGCCGGCCTGCATCGCCCACTCTGGCTCGGCTCGGCTCCAGCGCCCGCTCCTGGCCCTGCCGCTCCCTGCCCAGCGCCTCCGCCCCACAGCTGGGCCCCCAGGTCAAGGATTTTAAAGAGGCAGCTAGAACCAGGTTGGTCTGCTTGGCAAGAAAATAGCAGTTCACTAGCTAGAGTCTGGGCCAGAGGCATCAATTAATCTGGAAGCCTAACCTCTTCTGTGTGTCGCTTCATTTCTGGTGGGAAAGGTGACGTGGCAGGGCTGAGTGCATCCCTCCTCTTCCTCATACCTGGGAACCCTAAAAATCTGACCTTTCCTCCAAAAGGAAAAAATTAAGTATCAGGAAAAAAGCAATCTTCTTCCACTAGTTTGTACTTGGCTGTGTTGCAGAACTAGGCAATCACTGTGGGTTGGGGCAGGTCAGTTACCTAAAGCCTAGGTAAATATGGAAAGTGCACAATCAGATGCTCAGTAAATATGAAGAGTTCATAGTCAGACGTCATACTGAGATACATTTCTCAACTCTCAGTTGGCAGAAAATCTAAAAGCGTGACTATATACTATGTTGGCAAGGCCAGGGAGAAGGAGGCGATCTCATATAGTGCTGGTGGGAATACAAAATGGAACAACTCTCACAGAGGGGAATTTGGCAATATTTAACAAAACTGCATATGCTTTTGCTCTTTTACTTAGTAATCCCACTTCGAAAAATCCACTCTGAAAATACCGTTACAAGTATGAAACAACGTGTGCAAAAGATTATTCACAAAAATGCCATTTATAATAGCAAAAACTGTAAACAACCCAAATGTCCCTCAATAGGGCACTGGTTGAATAAAATATAGTTAACATTAACACTAATGATGTACCATGCAGGTATAAAAAAAGACTGAAAAAAACCTTTCTTTAAGTACTAGTAAGGAGACATTTCCAGGATCAGCTAGATACAAGACAGTGTACACAGTACGTTAGTATACATGTAAGAAAAGAGGAGAGATGGAACAGACATCTCTGTTTTTTTAAACTAATTTAAAAAAAAGGTTACCAACAGGGAACAGGGAAGAAGAGAATGGAAAGGACAGGGATGTGAGCAATACTTCTCTGGGTATACCTTTTTACACATCTTTGACTTTTTAAGAAATCTTTTATTTGAAAATAATTACAGATTTACAGAAGAGTTATAAAGATAGGAGAGAATTCTCGTGTACCCTTCACTCTGCTTCCTCCAACGTTAACATCTTACACAGCCACAGTACATTTACCAAAACTAAGACATTAATTTTGGTACATTATCAACTACAGTCTTCACTCAAATTTTGAGTTTTTCAAAAAACCCCTTTTCTGTTCCGGGATCTAATCCAGGATGCCACACTGCATTTAGGAGCCATATTTCCTTAGTATCTTCTAGTAACAGTTTCTCAGTCTTTCCTGTTTTTTCATGAGCTCACCAGTTTTGAAGAGTACCTAGGCTGACTGAAATGTCTCTGGTTTAGGTGTGTCTGATATGAACCACGAGCACTTGGTGAAGACGGGGTTGTGCCCAGTTTCGCACTGAAAGTCACTACTTTCTCCTTGCCATATTCCTTACAAACGAATCACAAAGTCTAGCCCACTCTCGAGGGAAAGGAATTAGGCTACATCTCCTAGAAGGAGGGGTATCAAAGAATGTGGGGACATAGGTTATTATTACTACAGTAATTAGTAAGCGTCTCAGAGAAAATATTTTGCAATGCAAAATACTAAGCAAATTACCTGTTTTTCTTAAAGTTTTGCCCATTAATTTTAGCATTCATTGAAGGATCTTGCCTGCAACAATTATCATGGTGTTCCAATGGTGACTTTATATTTCCTTCCTTCCTTCAACATTATTTGGATTTCTTCTGTAAGAAAGATCTGTTCCTTCTCCCTCATTTATTCAATCATGTATTTATATTAGTATGGACTCATTAGTATTTGTTTTATTCTTTGAGTTATAATCCAATACTATCATTATTTATTTTGCTGCCCAAACTACTCCAGCTACAGCCACTGGAAGCAGCTCTTTCAGGTTGACTCAGGAGTCCTTCTGCAACTTTGACTTTCAAATCATGTAAATATTTAACACATTCATGAACTTAACTAAAAAAAAAAAAAGCAAATCCTAAAACTGAAAAGAAGCCCAGTGTATAGCAAACAGGAAACATAACCACCAGAAAATCATTATAAGTAATTCCTGATCTTGTTCCATCCTGAGTGAGATATATTCTAAGGACTAAAGAACTGCAAAGAAATCTTAAACTTCTCCAGTAATGTTTTGTTAGTTCTGGCATTAATATTGTTAACTGTCAAACAATTTTGTGTGTGTGTGTGTGTATTGTAGGATAAAGCAAAGATATATAAATGTTAATGTTGTTAGGAATCAAGATTTTCAGTTCAGTGCACAAGATCAAAGGTTAAGTAAAATC